TCTGCGTCAACAACAATCCTCGCAGGGAGGTGCTGCGAAAACAAGACTACCTCGCAGGATAGGTCTGCGTCAACAATAATCCTCGCAGGGGGTGCTGCGAAAACAAGACTACCCCGCAGGATAGGTCTGCGTCAACAACAATCCTCGCAGGGAGGTGCTGCGAAAACAAGACTACCTCGCAGGATAGGTCTGCGTCAACAACAATCCTCGCAGGGAGGTGCTGCGAAAACAAGACTACCCCGCAGGATAGGTCTGCGTCAACAACAATCCTCGCAGGGGGGCGCTGCGTTACCAAGTGGACTCCGCAGGGGGACGCTGTGATGACAAGTGAGACCCGCAGGAGACCGCTGCGTTAACAAGTTCTCTGCAGGAGACCGCTGCATTACCAAGTTCTCCGCAGCCTAGGTCCTGCGTCAACAAAGCGCCTCGCAGGGACATCTGCGACACCAAGAGTCTCCGCAGCGGCATCTGCGACAAAAAGACCCTCTAGCCCGTGCAGGCACCCCTTCGTGGTGCTAGGGACCAGTATTCGAGTATTCAAGGGTACTCGAAGAAGCAAAGATCTGCGCACCATCTTGATGACATATTTCGTATTTCAAAGGATATTCATCGGAGAAATAAAATGAGCCCTAGATAGATGCAAACCAATCGTCGGAATCGTAAATTCAAGATTCAACCTTCGTTATCGAGAGCCGTATTCCCAACCCTCCTGTCTTCATGGTTTGCGGTCGGCTAGTCTTCCCGCCGCAATAGAATGTATCTGCCATCAGGGCGTGGAGCGAACAAAATGGTGAGTATTTTGGTGCGTCGTGGATGTGTTGACCGGGCGTTTGATGAGCGTTGATGGTCGTTGATGAACGTTGATGATAGTGTGGATGAACGTTGATGAGTGTTGATGGACGTTGACGATTGTATGGACGAGGGTGTTGATGTGTGTTCTGTGGTATATGGCCAGGCGGTGAAGTTGAGTGGTGGTCACTAGACTTCAGCAAAGCCAATCAAGCCCATTTCTACGCACAACTACGGTCTTGGCATTATAAACCTGCTGATTAATGCCTGTTTTTATGCATGTTCTAGTCTGTAAGCCCAGACATCGGCCCGACGTTTTCCCTGGCTTAATCCGGGGGTTCAACTACTCCAAGAAGCAAGATATCAAGAACCAACGGCAAAGACCTGGTAATAAAAGTCATGGATAATAATGGCTACACTATGAACCAGAGTGCATAGGAATTACCAAGAAAATGTCTAATTTGACCAGGATTTTGTACTTTTCTGGCACTTGGAGGATTAGTGAGCGTCAGTACGTAGGTATATATATTTCATGTAGACAGAAGTAGGTGCATCTTCCTGTTCAAGTATGACATTTTCAATGGTGGAACTCCTCATTTGTAGGTTTATAGGATCACTTTTATACCAAAAACTAGCTAATTCCTCACAATTAGTGTCCGTTTCCACAGATAATTGATACTGGGAAAACCTGCATTACTTATGCAAATGCCAAGAATTGGAATGTTTGTATTGTTTTCGGCCCATTGGGCCCCCACGAAAGCCCAGGGGGCTTCTACCTTAGGCCTATAGTCCATCTGCGGGTTGGGGTCGATTTGGGCCTTGGGCTTTTGGTCCGGTGCGGAAGTCTACATATGACAGAGATATCAGTTTCATTGTTTAATCCTGCGCTATCTGGCATCACTTGCTACGATGGGTCCCCTGGTGGATACACAGTAAAGTACGCACACAGCCTCCAATTCGATTGAGGTGGTCGAATGCAAACACCAAATTTCCCTCGGTGAAGCTATAATCAGGCAAAACGCCCATGATCAGACCTACCAGGTGTAGAAGAAGCATTTAATGAGGAGCGCTCGAAATATGATTTTTTGCTCAAATAATTATGGTGATGCGATAGACTGTTCCTCGCGTAGTCAAATTTATCGCTTAAGGCGGCTTGCAAGTCACTCAATCCTGCTCTACTGTAGACTGCCTATATCCACAACGGTCGCGAGAGTCAAAGTGGATTTTCGCAACAAAGACAACCAAGTAATTGAGGGCTTTGGCTCAAGAACATCCAATAGGCTCCTTCTACAAATGGGAGCCGTCGCACCTTTGTCAGTAATCCCCGCCAGCAATTACGATTTATATTGCGAGCCCATCTCCCATGTAGCAACCACACCGCACTCAAATTGGCGATCACTGCTTTTTGGGCGTGGTATCCGAGTTCATGCGATCAAATATACTCTACTGCGTAGAGAACATGGTTGCAGCCCGATCGGGTCTGGCAAGCGCCATCCTGACCAGATCTGGTAAAGACGATTCCGCCAGCATTTACGACGGACGTTTGTGATACGATCTACTTGGCTTGGAGCCGCAGCAGACATGCCCCTTATCCCCTCCGCAAGCAATCATATGAATGCTGATTAGGGGTAAAAATTTTAGCATCGGTTGCCATAATCAAAGAGTACGCATAGCAGGATGGCTCTGAGTAAAGTTGTGCAGACATCCAACTCACCTTTACAAAGGATCTGCTTGAACAGTGATATGCCAAATGTCGTCCAGGGCGCGAGGTTTGACAAAATATATTTGATGCCCAAGGACAGGGGACGTAGGGGACGTAGAGAGCTCGGCCATTCCCTGAGAAAACCGCTTGCACGCGATATGTCAGAAGACGATTTTGGTGATAGATACACGTGCTCGGGTTGACTAACCTGCAGATGCAGTGACATCCAGGGGAAATGGTCTTTGCACACGTTACTCCAGCTTGGATAGGAAAAAGCGTGCTTAGGCATCCGATCCAGCCAGCGTATATCCAAAGACACCACAACAGTTCTGACGGTGCTCTTGATGCAGCGTCGTGCATGTCTGGTTGATTCATTTTCACTTGTTCGTTTCCGCTTGTTAGCTCCACCCGCTGGAATATATCGACCGGCTCAGCAACGCGGAGTAGGATCAGGTGAAACTATCGGACGGCATCTCTTTGCTCGTGCTCTCTAGTTGACTCGGCTATGACTCGACACCCTACCGTCTCCTTTTATCAGTTCGTACCTGATATGGCCAATGTTCATCTGTAGGCTCGAAATAATGGGGTCCCGCCTCACCTTCTCCTTGCACGCAGACTTAGACTCACAGCCTGCTCGTCGGCGAAAGTAGGACTCGTCCGCCATGAGTCAGACTGAAACATGAGCTCATCCCGGTGCCTGTCGAGCTGCCAGGCATCAAAAGACGTGAGATGCGAATCGAGGATAATGAGGATCACCCATTGGACGTCAGGAGTTTGATCCACAAGGAGGCTATTCTTTCGCGGTGTTCGAATGCCGAAACACGGTGGTATAGGCCCATTACGGTTTGGGCTTCGCATCGGGTAGACACATTAGCATATGGCCTGATGCACATAGTCGACTGAGAGAAGGGCCGAGACGATCTGGACCTTACATTGGCTCATCATCGATGCCACCAGTAGTTATGTGGAAATGATAGACAGCATGCGATCGCATCGGTATAGGGGAGCTCGAGCAGAGAAAATGAGAGCGTCCTGTTGTACGATACGAGTCAGCAAGGCTTACCACTTGGACGAGTTGTTATGACTTACCTGTTCATAGAGTTTGCAGAGGGCACGCTGTGTACGCTTGGGACGAGACGATCAGTGAGCTTCGTGGTCATATGAACTTGCCAAACAGATCACTTACAATCCTCTTCGGCAAAACAACGCACACGATTCATGCCATGTTGTATTCTGGTCCGTCGCACTCTCCGGCCGTTGCTCCAAAAAAGCCGGGCTGTGGCGCAACGCGCATTCTCTCGGGCAGCATAGGGCGTGACAACCTCACTAGGCACAAACAATCATATAGTCGTGATGGATGAATGTTTCGCAATGCGGACGGCCAGACACTCTCGCCATTCATGGAGTGAAGGCGGTGAGGGCGAAGACGCGATGGAGCACGCGTCGTAATGACGCCTTGATCTTATGTCCGATCCGGTGATAGGACTCCCAACAGGGATGTTTCACGTGGCAGTGGACTGCACAAACAACTGATATAGCGCAGCGGAAGGCGCGATAAATTACTCACATTACTTTACCAGAAAGAATGGACGTCCTAAGCTTACATGCAGTGAAGCTCGCAATCGGATGTCCGCACCTGTTATTGGCCGCTCCTTTGATTCACTCCACCTAGGGTATGATGTGTGGTCTGAAGCGACGGGGCCAAGAATAGTGTGTAGGCAGTGGCTTTGTGCAGATCACTAATAGGGATGCTGTATCCTCAGCGCCCTTTGGTGCGATGTCAATGTTCACTGTCATTTATTAGCTTGCAGATCGACGAGCTAATCCATCACTTACATACCCTGGTGGCCAAGTCTAGGGACGAAGAGACGGCAAAGAGCTGTGGCCCTTGCGCTTGTGCATTGTGGTCAAATATCCTCGGTTCTATTGGAATCGCATCGCCTTCGAGATCAGTAAAATTCCAGACAGGTCAGACTAAATTTACGTACCTGCGACGTGTATATTCGCGCTTTTGCCTCGGGGATACACACATGGGCTGTACGGTAGATCAGCTCAGTCTACTGCTGCGGCGGAAAGATCTTCGCATAGACACTTGGACCGCCAGTCTAAGTCTTGTCTCTTTGGTCGGCTGGCTGGTTGGCACAGTGAATCCGAGAACAGTATCTTTCACAGGCACTGTCTGGCTTGCCGGCCCACGATGTATTCTAAACATGTCAGTACAGTGGAAATATCGGTTCTGGTTCAAAGGGAAGAACTTATCGACTGCCACAGACACAAGCCTGCTCGACTTTGCGTAATCAAGTGAATAAATTGTAGAGCAAACAACTGGGGGCAGAGGACATATTTATAGACTACTCGGCTTCTTCTGTTGCGTAAGTGCTCTGCTTGGTAGAACGCGTTGAGGGACAACTCTCTTAATTGAGGCCTGTTGAAACCCATGTCTTCTTTTTACCGCAGTTATTTGCAGCGACATTTCTGATGCCTTTAGATGCTCAGTGAGAGCGACGAGCAAGAGTGGTGTTGAGAAAAAGGATGCTGGGTCGGTCAAGAAACGTTGGCTGACGGTCGAATCCTTCACGGCTCTCTAAATTTGAGGCTTTGTGGGAGATAGTCCGTCCGCAATGACAGGCTCATATTTCTTGTTCCGATACCCCAATTATGAGTCATTCAACGTTGAATCACCGAAAAGCGCTTACAATTTCATCTCTCGAAATCATGGACTTTTTTTCCTAGCCTCGCTTTAGTGTTATGTGTTGTTGTGTTGAGATGTGGGTCTGTCCGTCTAGACTGCAGAAAGCGAGGTCGTGCTCGACCCGTCAACCCGTTGAAGCTTGGCCACAGGTTGTCAACACTCAATTTCCGAAATTGACACCATGAAGACGCACCAAATTTTTTTTTTTTTGGTTTTGTTTTTTTGAAATTCTTTTTTGATGATAAGTCTCACAATATTCCATTTGTCGGATTTCCGAGATGTTCAACGAAAGAGAAAGAAGTGTCTGATTGAAATATATATCTTCAACAAGCGTTCATCCGGCCCTCAAATCGTGAGGCTTGATCAGTTTCCCCGACCGACTATGCCTATTGTTGAATACGCTGTCAGCAGCCGGCTGAAAAGTAAAGCAACTACAGCCAGAATTTGACTGCTTCGATTGACCGTTAACCCAGCCCGTAAACACCTGCGTCTGCATAGTCTATAAGAGACACAGAGGATCAATGGAAATTGTATTAACCAGACTCGTGAGTTTCTCCTGCGGGCAAAATGGATGCACAGGTCAGCTCGAAAGACCAGAAAATTGGAGGAGATCAGCCGCCCAGTGAATTGCCAACCCTTAGCGGAAAAGACAAATCGCAGGAAAGTTTCGACCATGTCCCATTGGTAAGTGTGACGACTCGGCTTCAATTACTTTGCTGACTACTATAGCCCTCACAACAGGATGCAGATACAAGAAACGCCCTGGCGACCGAACCCTTTCAACCAACCTTGAAGGTCCTAGCAGACCTCGAACGCGACGATCCCAAGTTCGCCTTTCCAGCAGCTCGACTTGTTGGACTCTATCGACGTCTCTGGGAATCCTGTGTTTCCAAGCATATCGATGGCCAGAAGCTAGAGCAGAGCAATCAGATCTTGAAGGAAGCTGGCACACACCTGCTTAAAGAGAGGGACGGTCTTCAGCTTCGCCACGACAAGGAGCTGTCTCGGCTGCGCTTCTTCGAGCAGGCACTGGAATCATCTCGGGGTCGACTGACTCGCGTACTCGATGACTGGAATCACCCTTCCAGACTCAATCTGGCAGGGCTGCCAGACATGGCAAGAGAAGAGTGAAGGATTGTATATTCTTGATTGTCCTATGTCTTTTACAATGTGGAAAGTATACAACGATGTATCCAACGATGTCGCAATGAAGAGTTACCGCAGGGAAAGAAGCTTATGTCTTTTTGATTGTTCACATTAAGAAGGCATATTATAGCCTTTGCGGAGTGTGTCAGCGGATAGTCCCGTATGTTCTAGTGCTACTTCTATTACTTCAATATATTATAGACAAAAATATGGATTCAGTGATAATGTGGACAGTGTAGCTAGCGGAGGAAGGGTCGATTGACTCGGCCCTCTCGCATTGCATCAAAAGAGATACTTGGGGTAGACGTCGCCAGCCCTAACAGACCACCCAACCTCCCCCTTGGAGACCGCTTCAACAATTCTTGACGAGAGTTGTCGTCTTCCATTCTGCTTTGAATGGCCTTCTGGATGCAAGTGTTCCGTGCTAGATCCAGGGATCTTTTCAGACTGAAGTATTTAAATCTGGGATTCACCACAAGTGCATCAACAATCGAGAAATGTCCACCCTTGACTGCCAACATCAATGGATCCTCAGAACATCGATTCCTGAGGCTTACATCAATTCGATCATGGCGTAGCAGTGCCTGGACCATCTCCAAGTCACCGCCACGGGCAGCCATGCAGAGAGCAGTGTCGTGAGTTGCGATCGTGCTTTCATTGATTTCCAGACGTGCGTCTTGTTGCACTAAAAGTCGTACCACATCGAGATGGCCATGTGCAACCGCTCGACAAATAGGCGGATCTATTAAATCCATTCCATTAATCTCCACGCCCGCCATATTCAGTAGACGAGCAACCGTGTCCACACTTCCGTGCGATGCGGCAGCAGAGATTGGAGAGTGGCCTGCAACACAGTGATTGAGATCTATTCCTGGCACCGCAAGCAGCTGCCGTAAAACTGCAGTGTCCAATCTGGCTGCCGCGTGATGTAGCGATGTAGACGGCCCCTCGCGCCTCCCGTAGCCTCCGACGAAGTTGATATCGATGCCGTTCTCGGCCAGTAGCCTTTCGGTTATCTCATCGTATGACAAGTACGTTGACAGCCAAAGAGGCGTATTGCCTTCTTTGTCTTTGCAGTCCACATTGGCACGAGGGTAACTCAGGAGCATATTGACCACTTCGAGGCGTCTGCCTTGAACGGCGAGATGGAGGGGCGTATCACCATTCGGGTCGTGGGCGTCCAAGTTCAGACCCTTTTGCCCCAGAAGCCGCTTGACAGCATCTACCGAGCCATATGATACTGCTTGGTGAAGAGGTAGCTCAGCCTCCTGTGATGATTGGGTACCAAGAAACACCTTGGCCATCGGATCGTTTGAAAAAATCATTTCCATCACGGGTCTATTGAAGCGACGTGCACAGTCCCATGGCGAGTGGCCCGAATCATCCTGTAGATCAGGGTCGCTGCCACTAGAAAGTAGCAGATGCACGAACCCTAGTCTACCTGCGAAGACTGCTAGGTGGAGCGCCGTTCGGCCGTGTTTGTGCTTGATGTCTACCTGGACGTTGGGTTGATTTAAGACGCTCTTGACGGCGGAAAGGTTTCCGTAGCGGACGGCATACCACAGGGCGCTCTCCCGCGCTTCATTTTGAATGTTGATGTCTAGGTCTCCACGACTGACCAAGAGGTCCCGTACAGCAGCGGAAGAGTATTTGAGCGCCCTCATTAAAGGAGTTTTGCCTCGGTAAAATGCATTGATGTTGGCGTTGTGCTGGAGCAAAGCCTCCGCAAGACCAACGTCGTATTTGACGGCCAGGTGCAACAGATTGCTGTTCTGAAATTTGATGTTGTATTTCCAGATGCTGGGCTGCAGTTTAAAATCAAAGTTTTTGCATGATTTTGCGAGGGCAAATAATGCACTACCGTCCAAATACGACACAATCCACAGCAAAAGCTCGTTGGGGAGCTCTCTGATGTTTGGCTGTAATGTATTAGCTCATCGGTAAACTCCGTAAGAACGAATTGAAACAGACCATGATTGGACAGCGGATGGAGCAAACGAAATGTAGATAGGCGTGAGGTGGGAGTTGTGAAAGTAGGATATGGGAGGCCTTTATATACCCACCTCAGCCAAATTCCGTGGTCAGCTAGGAGTGTAGTCTGTCACTCCGCTGAGAGGTGCATAGCAATCACACGGCAGCATCAAAGCCTTGCCAACAATGCTCAGGCGGAGTTGGAGAATCTTTGGAGTCTAGCTCCTGGGAACGCCAAAACTGTTCCTGGTAGTGTGTTGATGGCATGGGAACCGAATCTATCTCTACGTACCCACATCTTGCATCTAGTGCCATAAGAATAAATCACAACCTATCACTCACTTTGAAATTCCATAGGCAACCCAGAATTTCACCCAGCATTTGTCGACTATGCTGCCTACCGCAGTAGCCAATCTGTTCGCCAATGCATGGTCACCGCGGTCTACAGCCACACGTGCAGCTGATTTGAGCAGCAGTGATCTGGAATGATATCCCTTCTCGCAGGCCACTGGTTGGCCGTATAGTGGCGCATACTGCGTGCGAATGCATTCTCGGACGTACCGACTGTTTCAAGGAAGTGTTCCATGCCAGCCACGCAGCCATGTAGGTAAGGAGCCCACGCGATGGCATATAAAGCTGGCGAGGGAACGCTGCGGTGATTGCCCAACACCACCACAATCCGAAGCATTTTCTGCCTTTGACGACCACCTCAATAACTACCATGCTGCCTTGGAATCCGTTTCTGGTTTGTGAGATAGAGGTCAGCCCTAATGGCGGTCCCGGCTCCTGTTGCGGCATGACGAAAAAAGGCGAGCCATGCAAGAACTCGATCAAAGTTGAAGACACCAAGACCGGCCATCAAAAGTTGGCCACTCTCGCCAGAGAGCCGTTTGACTTGTCAACGTTGCAGTTGAAGCTCTGTGATATCGCCAGAGACTTCCTCTGCGCAAGATGGCACCGGCAACGGCAGGCCGACCAAGTTGGCCAGCAGTGGTATGAAACCGCCGTCCGCAACCAGGCGCGAGTACCACATTGCTCCAGAATGGCTTCTCCATCAGTCATTGTACATCCGGGCCAGCGTCAGACATCGTCAGCTTCCAGGCGACGCCCTGCATCAGACAACACCCAGCCATCACCACTACCGGTGCCCCTGTCAACCAACCCCGAGCCAGTGCAGCCATTCAATCCATTTGTGACTTCTGCAATGCTGCGGGCGAACAATGTTCCATGGCGCGTTTCGCCGGCCCAACCGGCTATTCTGGCGTCGGTCGCTAATATCTGGGCGGGTGTCCAAGACTTGACGCTCCAGAGTCTCACCCCAAGTGAAGAGGTCGACAGCATCCATTGTGTTTTCTGCCTGACCGAGGATGAAGACCATGCAAATGAGTGCGTGATCTTGCGTTGCCATCTGTGCCGAGCGCTCTCTCATCTATCCTGCGCGGAAGAGTGGTTGGAAAGGCGAGATACAGGATCTGGCACGTCATGCTGTGTGTGGTAAGTGTGGATGGCCTTTTTTCTGCAACGACCAGGATACTGATGACTACAGTCGAAACGAAGGAGCCCTAGATGCCTTGATTCGCCCTTTACGAATCCCCTTGTCGGATGCCGAGACACATTCCGTCCTCACAGCAAGTGACTCGTCTCCCGATGGTGGACCCCGTTGCTCGGCTAGACTAGCAGGGGCTCATCTACCGCGAGACCCGTCCACCTCTGCACCGCTTCGCCGGTCGGCACGACTCAATTCCACTCAGCGTAGGTGATCATAGATTACAGCCGAGTATGGCGGAAAACGGGACAAGCGACTGTCAATCGCACGCGAGGACACGTGACGACATACTCGGCAACGTGATCAGCAACAGAGGTCATAGCTGTGATATAGATAATTGGAGCAAGCTTAGCAAGAAATGAAATCCTAATTGTTAAACTCCAGAGTAAAACGCGGCCGTATCATCTTTCAAGTGCTGAACGCCATTACACCTCAGCCAAAAGCTACTGGCTGCTTCCTTGGTTTCGAAATGACTTATCTAGGACCTGTGCCGGTAGATGAAAGTGCTTTTTAATCATACAGCACCTAACAGCGGCGACCAAAGTGAAACAAACACTCCGATTCATCTCAGTGGAGCCGTGTCGCATAAGGCGGAGATTGGGGGCAGAAAAACCCAACTCGTGGGCTGGCGAGAGACTGACAAACTCTTATACTTGTTAACTGACTCTGGGAATCAATATGTTGACCCTAGGAACCTCGATATAATTTCTAGGAGCTTTTTACCCCTGGGAAATCCTCTTTATCTCCTGGGGCTATTTCTAATTCTAGGAAAATGAGATTACGTTCCTGAGTAAATACGAAGCTGGCTCTGGGAATACATTGACCAGATCTGGGAGCTGTGAAGCCCCTGGGAGCTTACTTTAGGGTCCTAGAGCTACTATACTGCCTTCCGAGATCGTAGAAGCTCTCACAAGACACCTTCACCAGACCTGCGCAGAAATCTGCGTCATTCGATCACTCCTAGAAGGCCAAATCATCGCTCCAGGAATCAAACAAATCGTCAACAGGAACGCGGCTTTGATTCCCCGAGGTGGGGGTACTAGACTCCAGAAGCTATGTTGGGTTTCCCGGGGACTACGTGGCTCCTAGAAGCTGCTTCTTTGCTCCCAGAAACCGCATCAATGGCTCTGGAAGCAAAAGAACTTCTAGGGCCAGATGTCCCTCCCTTTAAAGTGGATCAAGGGGCGTGCATGAGTGCGATAGATGTTTCAGATTAAGACCAATAAGCTCTCTAAGCGTTAAATTGTTATTTGCGATACCCAATAAAGTCTCTTTTCGGGTACCAACCTTAGTTCCGTTTTCCTTGTCGTTTCAGGGCATCAGCGTGCGGAACTCGTGGAGCACGCGTCACCAGTACTACCCTGCGTGAGTAGCCCGCAAACCTTTCGCTGGCTTCCCACTGCCAAACTTCTCGCTGTTCTCGACGCTGATTGGACAGTTTGCTTGCCAAGTACGCTACTATTCCTGCACTCCTGATTTGCCTGTTTATTGCAAACCCACATGTGCGAATGTCACGCTTTTTCCGCTCATTTCAGGGCCACAGCGTGCGCAGCGCGCGTCACTAGTCTCAATCGTGTTTGGTTGGATTCCTGATCATGTGCTTTTTGCATCTGTCTCCTTTTCCACCCTTGTATGCGCTTGTCCCCGCTGGTCTCTTGTCCTACCTGGTTTACAGGGATCATCCTGGTGCTTTGTACATACTAGCCCTTCCTAACCGCTACTATGGTTGCTATTTTATCAGTCTGCTGCTCTCCTTTTGCTATTCGCCTGTTCCTTAACCCTCGCTTTTGTCTTTTCCCCCCGTCCTCCCTATTAGTTCATCCTTCTCTAATCCTCACCTTCCTATTCTCTTAGAGCCCGCTTGCTTACGCATAATGATCGAGACTGAGGCAAATAAAGCCTCCTACCTTAACACCTTCTCATGACCAGGTGCTTCTCATGTTCTATTGAGTTGAAATGTACCATCCGCTAATTCAATTCTTCAAATCTTCAAATCACAACTCAAAACCCAATTGCAAACCTCGAGAGCCGTCTCCTTCGCCTTCTCCTCCTCAATCACCACACCATTGCTCTTTCGTTCCCACTTGATGCCCGCAATCCTGGCTCCCGTCTCCCCCCGATCCACTTTAGCCCCGCCAATCCCCCCTGGCACCTTAACCTGGAGAGAGATCCGCTTTTCCCCTCCCCAGCTCCCATACATATACACCTCAAAGCTGGTCCCCCCATCCTCCGGGTCGTCGGAGCAGCACATCCACTTATGCTCCATCTCCGACGGCTCAAATCCGTTGACCAGCTTCGTAACATCTGCGCGCCCCAGCGGCAAGTCCCACGGCGCGGTAACGGGGTCTTTGAACTGCCGTTGCCTCCAGCGACTGCCGTCGACGCGCGAGGCCGGAGGTTCACCAGGGTTGCCGTAGACGACGAAGTGTTGTAGCTTGGCCATTAGTTCGTTATCCATCTCCGGCCCATCATCGTGGGGTAGAGTGTCGTCGTTGTTAGGCGCATCATAGTCGTTGCCGGACATTGTTATATTTCCAGAAGCTTGGTTCGGATAAAGAATGGTGCAAGTTGCTTCAGAGAGTCATCCACGTACCCGCACCTAGCAGGAACACTTGTCCATTCAGGATGTGGTTCAGTCAGGACCCGGAAATTTTTCGGGCAAAGTCAGGCAGAAAATCCTTCGGAGAAATGAAGCGCGCCGAGTCAGCTATGGCAATCAGCAAGCGAGTGGACCGCAAAAACGCTGAATCAGCAAGATTTGAGTCGGCAGAAACTTACAGTTCCCTCAGCAGACCCACCCAAAAAGGCGGTGAACATAGCAGTCCACCGCCTGCTGCTTTAGCGACGCTGACACAGTCAGATCCCAGCCAATGATGAGGCAGATTTCTGCCGTTTCTGTCACGATAACCCGATTGGGTTGCTTCACCAGCCTGTTGTCATAGGCCTGTGTTAGGCGGTGGACCAAGGCGGTGACCAAGGCTGGTTATGGCGTAAACCTCTGTTTTTTCGGTTTTCTGAGGCGCTGCGGCTATTAGTCCTATCATCTCATTGGTCAACGCTGATTTGCATTGTGAAAGGATCAGTGAAGCAAAACAACTTCCCCTTTTCCTCGGACTTTCTCGTCCCTGCACTTGCTTTTCATCGTTTCAGGGCCATAGCGTGCGCAGCGCGCGTCACCAGTTGTGGTAGCCTGCATATCGTTTCGACAGTTGGATCCCAGGTCACGGTGATACATATAAATCTGTAGGAGTTGCTGTCTGTCAGGCAGGCACTACGCTAGGCAGCAGGGAGATGAGCTGCTGCGACTACAAATAGCAGGATCCTTTCATGGAGATTAAAAACAACACACTTGTACCTCAATTCAAGGTTCAACTCGCGAGGGGTCAGGGTAAATGAAATCTTCATCATCATCATCATCATCCCGACTGTAACTTACAAGAGTGACGTTTCCATGGTCCGAAGCTCGCAAGTAAGATAGATGACATAGAACGAACCATTCTTGACGATGTGGTCATATAGATCGTATTCACTGCAAGACCTATCTATGCTAGCTGTGTACCGTAAGATATACAAGAAAACTCCACTGCTCGAGAATATCATACAGCGTGATAAAGGCGGTTTAGGTTGTCGGCGTAGGTGGTGGCTAGCTGGAGTTCACCTTCACAGTGATATGTTTGCTCCAATCGACACCACTCGCGATTCATCGGGTCTATTATATGCATTAAGGCCAAAGCCAGGTGACGCTCAGATGGATCTGTTTGATTGGGATTGACTATTGACCAATCAACCCATTTTTTTTAGCTATTTTCTCGGCCGAGGTAAGCAGTGCAGCGGCTAGTTATCAAACTACCCCTTGAACTATAGAGCGGCAACTGACAGTCCTCACAGTTGAATTGATTGGTCACTGCTCAGCTCAGGTTGAATACCTGGAGCTAATCACTCAGCCACAATGAGGCCTGGAGATAAGGCTTCTATCGAAGACTCATTTCGATATACTCACTGGCAGTCTTCAGCCGTCCAATCAATCAATATGTACAGGCATCTTGCGAGGAACGTCTAGCCTGTTCTTGACATTATATACAAAGGAAGCGGTGTTGGAATGATAAGATGAGGAGTCATTCACGAGGCGCTTGCGTTGTTCAATTGAGCCCGCTGCATCATACTACAAAAATCACTCTCCAACTCGTGAGATATTCCACTAGGTGCGCAACCCAGCCTCGCTGGATGGACCAACGCTTACTTGGCTTCCTTATAAGCAGTTGCAGTCCAGGATTCGAATAAAACCCCTCCATATTGTTCAACATCTTTTTGGATGGCCTCCTCAACGGCAGCGGGCCATCTCCCTTTCTCTTCATCAGTCCAACCTTTTGTCATAGCATCCCGAAACCCATCCCACAAGATGAGCTTTTTCATTTCTTCGATATGCTCGGCTTTCCGTACAGTTCTCTCTTGTCTCACTTCCACTTTTGCCTCGCTGAATCCAGCCTCGACGACAAATTTGAACAGCACACTTTCTCCACTGAAGTCTAGGCTGGAAAAGATTTCAAGAGGCAGGCCGGGGCGAACAAGGCTCTGCGCTTGATGGATAACCGAGCACCATCCAGATCGCTTCCACGCAAGAAGCACTGCGACCCCGCCGGGCTGGAGAGTGCGGTAAATCTCACGGAGGCTTTGAGGCGCATCCGGGAAATGGAACACTGTGAACATGGCAATAGAGTGAGTGAACTTCCCATCAGGAATGCTGCTTAAATCCGGAGAGTCTGCCTTGACAGCCGTGATTCTGGGGCTCCACTGGCTATAGCACTCATTTGCTACGTCTAGCTTGGAAGTGTCGGTAATCAAAATCTCTGGGATTTCATCCAGAAACTTAGGGTCAAGCATGTCGAGAATGACTGAAGTGGCAGCACCAGCACCAGTGCCATTGTCGTGAACCACTGAAGACGAGGTAATCCTCGGTGTAAGATGTTTCAACGTTGGGGCAAACAAGGCACGTTCGGCGTCGGCATGAAAAGGAGAATAATAGCGGGCCTTGGCGTTGCGCTTGAACCTGTAGTCCCAATCGTGGTACCTCGAGGCGGACGGCGGTTTTGTCTTCCATTTCCACCAGTTAAGGTTAGTCGATGTCGTCTGATTGACCGATTTTTGCATTATGCTTGAATGCAGCTCCCTGTATGGGCCCTTCCGGAGCTTCGAGGGCTGTAAATGCTAATTGTGGAGGACACAAATCACTTTACGAAGAAGGCCTTTAAAAACCCATGTTTTTTGAGCCACGTTTCGGCCACGTTACGCTTGCACCAAATCCTAGGCTGATGTCAATCTGGTGACCAAATTTAGTTTTGTGGCATTTTGCAAGATGTTACTAAGCCATTGAATTCGTTAGCGAACACGAAGAAGGGAGAGTGGAGAAACTAATCGAACAAGGATGTCTTGACTTGCTAAAGAAAAAAGGGGGCTATGTAGTATGCTGTATTCATAGGCACTAGGTAGTTACTTGCCTACTTGCCTACTTACCAACTACTCATGCCCCTAGACAACCCCCCAGACGGAGCCCTAGACACCTACGGCTAGCACTTGTTGGGCGTCTCGTGATCAACGTCTTGCAGCTTGTACACTACGCGCTCAGAACCAAACATACGCGCAGATTGCGTGAAGGGCTGTGGCAGAATTGATTTTATTGTACTAGGCCAACATGCTGTTTACAAGAATCTTGAGGAGAGGAAGACGTCGGGAAAATGGGCACTGGCATTGTATTGACCCGTCAGATACCACTGTGGCTGGCTGATATCTGCAATTTTACAACCCCCCCTCCCCATGTTCCAGCTACAAGTTCCAAACGGGCTGGGGTGGGGATCCGGCGATCTGGCTTGATCCTGCCCACTTTCCTATTTTCTTCTGGATCCGAAGAAATTTAATGCGATTCAGATTGCTTCTGACAATACATCACAACTGTAAACAGTTAACAGTTATTTTTTAATGAATTAGCGATATATGCAGCGAAGTATTGCATAGATGGGCCCTCTCGAAGGCCTATTCGGTGTTGGGTTGTTT